CCTAGATGACCTGGTGAGTTAGATAATCTTCAGTTATAATGGGGAACTCAGGACAACTGTGAGCCTCTCAGCCTAGATGACCTGGTGAGTTAGATCATCTTCAGTTATAACAGGGAACTCAGGAGAGAAACCAGTCATATAGGAAACGAGCTGATGGAAATGTTTTTGGCCATGTTAGGTATGAGGTCATCAACTGACGAATCTAGCTGAAGGGCCACTTGGGCGGTAGCCAGTAATATTGGGCATGAATACAGGAGGATCTTAAACAATAATTAACAGATGTAGTTGCTTCTTCTATCTCTAATGTACTCTATATCATTAAACAATCTGTTCATTACAAAGAAAGTGATCATACATTTTGGAATATCTCCTCCTTTCGTTACTGACTGGTTATGAACAACGCCAACAGACAGCATGGTCTTCCAGAATAACAGTAAAATCAGTCGCAGCAGTTTAGTCCTGTGTAATGCTCTGCTGCTAACAAATGGTACGCTAAGCACTTGTGTTAAAAGTAGTGAGAGTGTGAAGCATTTTTTTTCTTTCTTTAAAAAACAAAAAACAACTCCTATAAGAGCACAGTTTGAAAGTTCGTTTTAAAAACTTTTTTTTAACAAAGTTTATACATGTACATGGTAAAAAGAAATCCAAACTACACCAACGAGTATAAAATTATCTCCCTCTTACAGTAGATTACCATAAACATGGGTAAGGTATTGCGTATTAATTCAAAACCTTTCTATGCATATACAAGCAGATATAAATACAAACCTCTTTTAAAAATTGGGGAAGATACCATAACACTGTCCTGTAGTTTGCTTTCTGCACTCGGTAATGTACGGAGAAACTCCTCCCCGCCCGCTCTTAGGCCGTCATTCTAAATGACTACATTGTGTGCCAGCGAACCAGTGTACTACGATTTAACAGCGTTACAATCGCTGGACACTTAGGTTGCAAACTAGTTTACGCCTACTCCCACAGGTTGTCCAAACAAACCAAAGTATGAAAGGCTGAGACTGAGCATCTACCTAAAACGAGCAAGCAACAACACATGAACTTGGAACTGGCTACCAACGCTACATGTAAACACTAAGATATGCACTGATTTCCATTAACCGACAGTAATCTCTTCAAATTATTTTAGATCTCTCGGCCTTGCTGGAATCCCTAAATGTAAAGTGTGCTATTTTATGCACGCACCTCCCCTTTATCCTGCCAGGAGAGCTGGGGTTTGAGCTGCTGCTGGCGTTGCTCACAGTCTCCATGCGTGACGACTTGGTCTGGGATTGCTTGCCTGCTGATGACAGTGGCTTGTTAACGGCGCCGAGAACGTTGGTTGTCTTAGGCTGAAACGAGAAATGCACGTCTCTATTTAATTAAAACTAAAATAAATTTACATGTTATTGACATAAACAACATCTCTGTCAAAGTGTTTATATACAAATCATGAAAAATGTACCTATCCTTAAGGAAAACAGGTATCACTTGCACAAATTAAAAGCAACACCGACAGCACAGCAGTTCCGTTTCTCAGTTATGCGGAGGACAAGGCTCACACAGAAAGGGAGAACAAAAGAAAGGAAGAGTCGGCGGCAACCAAAGAAGACGGACTCTCGTGACAGAAAGACATAAGACGACACCTTTTTATTTTAAGACTTCGATCTTGGTGTTAGAATTAAGAAGTCTAAGAATCAAAATCTCCTGGGCTTTATTACAAAGCTAAAAATTAAATTTGTGTATATCAGCTTGCATCTAGCTTGTATATAGTAAACGAAATCATTTTTGTACTAGTCAATAAAATATATAATGATTATTTTTTCTACCTTGAGATATACACATTTTTAAAGAAATACAAAATAGCATAATTATGCCAATTAGCATACTAACTAAAACAAACTACCACGTAATAAAAATTGAAGTGCTTTTCAAGACGTACTTTTCCAGGAGTGAAAAACGATTTCATTTCTGGAGGCAGATAGTTTTTGGTGTTACTGAAGTTCTACAAGCAAGGGAAAATGAAGTAGTCAATTAACACTGAAAAACTATCGATAAAGCGGTTCAAAAGCAAACAGAATATAGAGCAAGTTTTTTTTGTTTTAAAGTACATATTTATTTAAACAGTTAAAACACAAAATTTCAGTCACTGATTGTAAGTACTGTAATAAGCTTAAACTAACCTCATGTTATGACCAAGGTGAACAAATCCCCTTGAGCTCTACTATGCCTGTGTTCTAAGATCACGTCCGAAAACACTGCTTCTACAACAATGCTCTCCAGGGACCGTGTGTACAGGACTGTATCACATGTACT